GGTTGCATCAGCATCTCCAGCCTTGGCCACTTCAAGACTGGTGGGCCTCAACTCCCAGGATAGCCGGCTGGGGAGTTCTGGGAGTTGAAGTCCACACGTGGCAAAGTGGCCAAGGTTGGAGACCGCTGGATTACAGCCACTGTCTCCATATTCAGGCAGACCTTCTGGCTGTCAGGACCAGCTCAGACCCCCCCCCCCCGCACTGCTCCAGCCTGCGCCAGGGATGCTTCTGCCGGTTGAAGTGGAGGGGTGAGAAGAGTTCAATTGCTGGCTCTTCCTCCCCCTCCAGATCTAAACCTTTGACCCACCGGCTCTCCCCAAGGATCTGTCAGGTGGTCACCCAGAATTCCCCCCCCCTGCAGGAAGTGGAGGCTTCGGTGCCCTCCCTGCTCGGCTTTCGCATTGTTCCTCCCGCTCTTTAATTGGACCGTAGAGTTGGGTGGTATTAGCTTATTTATGTTTTTAGATAGATCATTTTTAACTTTTATGATTGCAAGCCACCCAAAGTTACTTTGTTTTAAGATGGACAGCCAATAAGTTTTATTTATAAACAAACAAATAAGTAAATAAATAGCCCCTTTCAAGAGGCCCAGGAAACAGCCTTTCAGACGCTTCTCCAAATTGTGGCCTGTGTGTCTTTGTGTCTACCTTCTCTCGGATCTCCAGGGCTCTCTTGCACAGCGGCTCGGCCTCCTGGTACTTCCCTCGCTTACCATACAGCACAGCCAGGTTGTTCAGGGTGGCAGCCACCTGGCAGGGACGAAAGGCGGCTTAACCAGAGCCCAGGACGCTCCCTCAGAGCAGGGTGAAACGGGGGCATCTTGCCTGGGACCAAGCCAGGAGGGCCCCCACCCCGGGAGGGAGGGCCCACCCCCCCCTCCTCCTCCTCCTCCTCAGAGCCTCCACGTAACCCCTGCCAGTGCCAACCGCCTCCCTGCCCCCTCCCCACAGAGCCTGGGCACTCACGGAAGGGTGCTCCACGCCCAGCGCCTGCTGGCGAATGTCCAGGGCGTCGTTGAGCAGCTCTGTGGCCTCCTTGTACTTGTTCTGGTCACTGCAGGAGGAGAAGCAGGGCCGTTAGGGTGGCAGGGTGCAGCCTGCAGGCGATGCCAGGGCAAGCCCAGGAGGCAGCTGCAGCTCAGAGGCCTGGGGGCCGCCAGCAGAGCCACACGACAGCCAGAACAAAAGGGCCCCTGGAGCCCCCCCTCCCCGGTCTTTCTGCTTGTGCTGCTGGAGGGGAGGCCAGGCGCCTCGGCCATCTTACCGGTAGACCAGGGCCAGGATATTGAGCATCGTGGCCACGTCCGGGTGGCTGTGCCCGGAGCTCTTCTCCAGGTCCTCCAGGGCCTGTTTGCAAAGCGGCACGGCCACCTCGTAGCGCCCTTGAGAAGCGTACTGGATCACCAGGTTGTGCAGCGTCCGCAGGCGTGCTGGGATCTCGTACCCGCCCTGCTGAGCTGCCAAGGCGGCGACCCCCGAACTCTGCCCCTCTGCAGGACAAAAGCCCGGCCGGGTGGTGAACACAGAGCCTGGGTGGCCAGGCTGGGTAGAAGCCGGGCGTCCTCCCGGTCCAGCCCACCCTCGTCCCAGGCCCTGCCCAGCGCCTGGCCTGCTGTGGGGCAGGTTAATGTGCTGCTCTTGGAGACGGCGGGGGCTCTTTGCAACCCAGTGCTGGGCTTAAGCTTCAGCCTCACTCAGGCAGCCAGCCAGGCAGGCAGCAGTTGCCCAGGCGGAGCTCCGCTGGGGGGCTGACCGAGAAAGCAAAGGACGCGGAAGGAAACGCACCTGGCCTTTGGTCGTCATCCGTGCTGAGAAAGCCTTCCTGTGTCTCCACCTGCAAGGAGAACCTGGGAAAGTCAGTGAAGGCAGGAAGGACACACACACACACACACACACACAAACACACGCCCCATTTTCCTTTAGAAAACTCTCTGCTAATTGGAGGCTTTGCAGTGAGGGATGCAGGATCAAGCCCTTCCTCCCCCCCCCCCCCCCCCCCCCCC